TCCCCACCTCCTCCATGGTGGATCCAGCCACAGGTCCCCTGCTTCGGCAGGCATCCCAGTTGTCCCTTGAGAGCACCGTAGGGCCCTGTGGCGAGCGATCTTAGTCCCTGGGATGGGGAGGGGCTCCCTGAGATGGCCTGGAGACCACCCAGCTCTGACCTGGGACCCCAGACCCAGGGGCACATTGGACAGAGGAGGATGGGGTTCTCCCCCACAATGGGGAGTCAGAATGGGGAGATCTGCCCCACTTGGGCCCCTCCTCACCCCTTCATTGCCTCCTACCCCTAAGACTTTCCCTCTCCCAACGGGTTGGCTGCACTTTTGACTTGGCTGGTTTTGACCTGGTGGATGTGGCTGCAGTTGGAGAAAGACTGAGGTGGCAGAGCGAACCACTCACCTGCCCAACACCGTCCCACCTGTCCCCCTTTTGCCTCCTCGGAAGCTTGCTGCCCGGAGCCAAGTCCAGAACCCAGCCGGCCATCTCCATGGTGCCAATTACCAGCAAGTGTCTTTCCTGCGGCACCGGGTTCAGGCAGCTACTCCTGCCCCAGAGCCGACGGGGCAGCTTTGCAAGGATCCGGAGCCAGCTCCCAGGGGCCCAAAGTCCCCCACTTGAAGAGGAGCTTGGGCCTCCCTCTGCCTGCCCGTGGAAGGAGCTTTGCCGCAGCCTGTCCGAGTCCATCTGTCCATCCCCTCCTGCCTGCCCCTCTTCTGGAGGCTAAGAACTAAGGGCCAACAGGGACCAAAGGAAAGGAAGAGATGTCTGGAGCCTAGCACAGACTCCCAGGATGCCTTGCCCCATGCGATTGCAATAAGCTGATCTGAGAACTGATGGTGGACTGGAAAGGACATTGTCATCTGTGTTTTGGTGGAAGAGCTACAGGACCCTGAGTTTCTAGAACCCTGAGTCCAGGGAGCTCACCATCTCGGCATTGGGGGCTGGGTTGGAGGGGGACTAAGGAAAGCTGGGGTTGGGACTGGTGGTGCCAAAGTAAGGGTTTCCTAAATAGGAGAACTCCTCCTTGAATGGGATCAAGGGTCATCTTGTCAACTCCTCTGCCTCCAGACTAGGGGCCCAGGGAGGCATTAGAGCCTTGGTATTTTAGTCTTTTTAAACAACTCATTCTGTAAAGAGTATGGCCTCAATCACCCTGGCTGGAGGAGAGATGGTGGTGGGAAGGAGGAGCGAGAAGCTACGAGTGTACAAATTGGGAGGCCTGGGTAGCTGCTTCTGTGGGGCCTGGGGAGCCCTTTTGCATGCGAGGGAGGAGGCAGGCTGGCCTCTCTTTATAGAAGCACATTTCTGCAGCCTGCCACTCCTTTTCACCTAGTCCCTGCTGTGTAGGGTGTAGTCCAGGTTAGCTGGGTAGTTAGTGTTCATGCCCTGGGGCCTGTTCTTAGCTCAGATATAGTCTTTACCCAGTCCCAGGCCTGGGGTGCAGAGGAGACCCCAGTACATTCCAGGAGACCCAGTCTCTCACCGGCCTGGGCTGGATCCGGTAGCCTGGGAAGGCCAGCCCTTACTCCTCATCCTCCCTTCCCTTGTCCTTCCCTGTAGGGTTGTAGCCCAAGCTGCCCACTATACTCACTGTTCTGATGTATTATCCTTGGCACTGATTTTCTTTACAAGACACCTCTGTGATTGCTGGGCCTGATGGAGGGGGCCTGGTCTCTGTTAGAGGGTGTTGTTTTCCACTGAGGACACCTGGGCTCTGTTCAGTCCCACCTTGTTCCTGATTTCACCATGAATTCTTTCCACTTAGAAATTCTTCCTGCCTCTCATCCTGGTTAAGACCTGGGTGTCCTTTAAAGTTCTGTAACCTCCATGGAGTTTTTTAGGCTGCACAGGGGAAAGGGGAATGGAGACGCCCTCTTAACCAATTGGTCTTCAGAGCTATCCAGAATGGGGGCAGATCCAAGGCTAGGGCTAAGGGAGCAGGGCTCCCATGGGCTCCCATCTAAGGCCCACAGTCAGCCCCTCTCCCATTTTTTAAAACCAGTGTAATTTCTCTGCTGTTCGTTTATTATTCATCATTTGGAATATTTTGAGCCAGGAGAGCGCTTTCTCTCTCCAGCATCACCGCTGTAATTGTTTAGGGGTAGGGCAGAACCTAGCTGTCCCAACCAGGAGAGGGGAGGGGGCTCAGGTCTGACTTGACCTTCCCAACCTGAGCCCTCCCTTGTGTGTCCATGACTAGAGTGGGGAGGGAGGGAGAGAGGGAGAGACAGCTCCAAAGCAATAACAACATCCTGGGGGTAGTTGGGAGGCCCCCTCAATGATTTTCTTGTTTGTTCTGTGAAATGTTGCTCACCTCCTGGAGGGGTGGGCTGGGGGCTGGAGCCCTGTTTCTTTGTGTCATCATTGTGAGCATATGCTGCCCTTCCGAGGGGTTGTGACCATTGGGTGTGGGAACCATGTCTGTCCTCACCGAGAGGGGGAGGGGAAGGGACTCTTGTCATCATTAGATTTGGGGAAGCCTCAAGCCCAGCCTGGCCCGCTGCTGTCTGAGCCTTTACCAGCTCAGGCTCCACCATTTGGAGAAGGGCAGAGAAGGTGGAGCTGGGGGAGGGGTTAGAGGTGAACCTTTTTGTCTCTGGGCAGAGGTCCTGTGCAGTGCTGCCATGGGAGGCCCTTACCTTCCTCCCCATAGCACCTGCTCACACTGGGGGCTTGTGAGCCTTTAGTCCATTCCCATGTCACAGACGCCCGGCCCGGGAAGAGCCACCCTGGGGTCACTGGGACATTCAGTGACCCTGCACTTGGGTTTCCTTGCATCTGGTTGAGCTGGGGCCAGGGTGGGACAAGTGGGACTGCCACTTCCCACACTTCCTCCTTCCTCTCTTTGGAGCCTCCTAGCAGTCCCAAATTATGGGCAGAACAATTTGTAGCCCATTTGACAGGTTAGGAAACTGAGGCCCAAAGCAGGAAGTGACTTGTCCAACGCCCCTCACCGTGGAAGCAGTGGGGGCAGAGCTAGGGGCTCCATTAGGCTCCCTTCTTATGGCAGAGACCCTGTTCCAGGGAAGGTCTGCCACCATCATCCTGTCTAGCCTCTAAGCCCCGGGCTGCACAGCCCTGCTTGGCTCCTTCTGCTGGGCCAGTGTTTTTTTTTCTGGGCTGGGGTTACAGGGAGAGGGTGGCCAGCAGGACTGGAGTCTCATGGGAGTCTCCCCAGCTGATGGCAGGCCACAGGAGTTGATCTGGACTTTCATGAGTGGGCAGGACCCCTGAGCTAAGGAGTGGGGGCTGAGATGGCCCCACCTGGGGAAATCCTCACTACACCATCAGAAGTGAAGCCTGACTCTGTAGAGCTTTCCACATATTCTGGTTCACAGTGCTTTTACCTTGCTGTATCCCTGACCCTCACAAGAGCCCCTGGGAAGTAGGTGGAACGAGACCTGGGGTATCAGCTCTGTTTTCAGGAGTAGGAAGTGGAGGTCCAGGAGAGGAAGGTGCTTGCAAAGGCCCCTCTGTGAGAACGGGGCTGTGACCGGACCAGTATTCAATTTAGGCAGAGCCTGACAGGTCAAGCAGAAAGTGGAGGGGGTGGTTATGCACTTCACATGCAACTCACCACCTAGTTCCTTAAGCCAGGAGCTCCTGGTGTGCTTTGGGGTTCAGAAATAGCACTGCGCCCACTCCTTCCCAGGGCACAGCTGTTGCATCAGGCAAGGTCACCTGCATTTATTTATTGAGCAGCAGTGCTGTGCCAGGCCCCCTTCCCATTCCCTGTAACGGCTTCTTCTGCCCTCTGGGAGGGCCCATGTCTGCAGAGCAGCACCTCAGTGGACGGAAAGTGTCTGTTGTGTCCACGAGTTCACCTGACAAGCCCCAAGGGCTAGGCTGCTGTGCTTATTTTACCCAGAGCGCCTGTGAGGGCTGAGTGGAGGATGGAACACAGCAATGGGTGTTACTGCTTCCTGCAGGGTGGTGGAAAGGAGAGGCCCTGGGTCCTCAAGCTGAGGCTTCCCACTGTCCACCCACCTTTTCCTCATGTCCTCTCAAGGAGCAGGAGCCCCCCCCCCTTCAGGAGGGGGAGGTTTCTGGGGCCTGGGTTGGAGTGGGTCACATTGCATTGTGTTCATGACCATGTAGCTCATGTTGAAAATTAAAAGTTTTTGGCTTTTCTAACTTGGCTTGCTTGTGCTTTGTGTGGAGGCATTGCTATGTGGGAAGATGGGGGATGCTGGTGTTTTAAAGGAGTAAATGCTATGGGATGCCAGGATGCCCCACCATGGCCTTTGTGAATACCCACTGTGCCAGCCATACACAAGAGGAAGCAGGTTTACAGTGAACCCTGTCTTATTGCTCATGTGGAAACAGGACCAGGGAAGTGATGAAGAATCCCAAGGTCACATTGCTGGTGATGGGAGGGACCAGGTATGAGATCCATTCCACACCACTGTGCCACCTCCAAGTGGTCCTAGTGACATGGGAGCTATCAGCAAGGCCCTCTTCATCCCTAAGTGGGTTGTGGCTGGGGACAGTATCAGCTTTATGGAGTGGAGGATAATCGTTCACGCCCTATACATGCTGTGCAAAGAGAGTGAGGGTCATTTAAACTGCAGATTGGCCGCTGCGGATGGTATGTGGTTCCTTTTGGCCCATCTCTGTTCCCGGTACTTCTAGTGTGTGCATTTGGCCCTACTGGTAGAATTCCAATGTTGGAAGATGTACATTTGCTTCCACAAGGTAAAACTACCTCTTCACAAAAAGCTTGGCTCTGCTCTGATGGACCAGCTAGTGATGCGGACCTGAGCGGTTCCGGTCCTAGCTGATGTGGCCACGCCTTCCAGAAGCAAACTGAACTGAGGGATTTGCCCCTTCAGGGTGACTTGCAGAGGGATCCTCGCTTGTGCAGCATTAATACATTTTTTGGAAGGGGTGGAGGGAAGAACCACCGAAGGTAATGAGAAACTGCTTGTGCCGAAGACAGCCCCGAGGCCCCTTAGCACTCCAAGTCCTGGGGAGGGTGCGCTTATAGGTGGAGCCAGCCGGCTAGGGCTGTCAGATAGACTTCCTCCGTGCCCGGGGCCTGGCTGCCCTGCTGCAGCGCACAGCCGCGGGGCTCCAGGGTGGGGAGAAGCCCAGATTGTCGCGGGCCCACGTCTCCAGCCGGGGGATGCGATGGGAGATGCCGGTGGAGCCCCCGGGCCTCGCTGGACTGCGGCGGCGCGTGGCGGGGACGCGGCTCTCGGGCGCCCCCCGGCGGAGCTGGCCGGCGAGGCGGGCGGCGCGCTCGGGCGCGTCGGTGCTGGCAGCGAGGAAGCGCAGGACCACGAGGTTGAGGAAGGCGCCGATGACCGTCAGCCCCAGCAGGATGTAGAGGAAGCTGAAGGCCACGTAGGGCGGCTTCCTCTGCAGCGCCTCGTCGCTCTGCAGCGCCACGAAGTCTCCAAAGCCGATAGTGGTGAGGGTGATGAAGCAGTAGTAGTAGGCGTGGAAGAAGGTCCAGCCCTCGAAGTGCGCAAAGGCGGCAGCGCCGAGGGCCAGGGTGGCGGCGCACACCAGCAGCCCGGCCACCACCATGTTCTCGGTGGACACGCACGGCCGTCGCAGGCCCCGGCAGCGCTTGGCCGCCAGCAGGAGGCGCCGCACCAGCGCGTTCAGCCGCTCGCCCAGGCTCTGGAAGGTGACCAGGGTCAGGGGGATGCCCAGGAGCGCATAGAACATGCAGAACACCTTGCCCGAGTCTGTGCCCGGCGCGGCGTGGCCGTACCCTGTGCGGGGAGAGCGCAGAGAGCGTGCGTGAGAGCCCAGCTCCATCGATCACTCGCCCGCAGCCTCCCTGCCTGTCCCTCCTCATCCCAGAGGCGGGCTGGCCATGGCAAACGCTAGGTATAACCAGGTCTTTCCCTCGCTTTGGAAACTCGCGAGGTTATTCATAATCAAACTAGACTGCATACAACGCAAGCATCTGTCCTTCCACTGCAGACTGGATAAACTGTGGTACATCCAACAATAGAATCCATTTCCACATGGAAGAACCTACTGTTTCCATATGGAAGAACCACCTACTGTTTTCTACAACAACAAGAGATGGATCTCTTGCCAGGCCTGGTGCTGTAATTCCAGCACTTATTAGGCAAAGGCAGGAGAATAGTGAGTTCAAAGCCAGCCTGGGCTTCATGGTGAGTCCCTGTCTCAACACAAAAACAGATAATCAAAACAACAGATTTCAAACATATTGTGCTGAGTTGAAGAAGCCAAGCCCAAAAGGTACCTGCTGAATGGTTCCACTAAAATGACATGGAAAAGGTAGTTACAGGGACAGAGAACAAACAGGTCTGTGGTTGCCAATCGTTGGGGTTGAAGGAGGGTTAACTACAAAGGGTATGAAGAATTGGGGGATGAGGACAATATTCCATGTCTTGATCTGTGCTAACCCCTAGGCACCCTGTCTCAGAACCCACAGAGTAGTCACCAGGAAATGGTGACCTTTACTATAAGTCATGCCTTGGTGGGGAAAGAAAGAGGCTTCCTACATGGAGTCCCAGCTCCTTCCTGACCCAAATCCCCTCTCTCCAGCTCACCCCTTCTCTTACACGTCCACTCTCCAGCCTGACCCCTGCTGTGTCCTCATCAGCAGGTTCCACTTCCACAATGCCTTGTCTCTCACCCCAATCCCTCCTCCTCTCAAATCCTGCCTCCCTCTCACCCCTTGGTTCTGGTTCCCTCTGGTGTCGGGATTCTTCATCAAGCCCTTCAACTGACCTGATGGGTTTCCTTAAGTCTTGGGTGCCATTACTGTGGAGTGGGTGGATGTGTCTCTTTCTGAACAGAGTAGCATTTGCTTTTGTGGCTCACAACCCAGGAGAGGTCAGGTAGAGCTCCCCAACAGAATATGCCCCCTTCTGTTGGCCCCATCTGCCAAAATGTAAAATGTACAAACCCTTGACGTACACACTTCCACAGCTGGGAAGTGAGCCCTTCAGTACACACATGCAAGATGATGTATACAGGCGGATTGTCACGACAGCACTGTTGGTCGTAGGGAAAATTAGAAACAACCTCAGTGTCCATCAGTAGGGCGCCATCCAAATGACAGAATACTAAACAGGAGCTGTTCTCAGCCCAGAGCTGTCATATCCCTGAGGAGACATTTGGCAAGATCTAGACACAGTTTTACTTGTCACAGCTGGGGTTAAGAATGGAGTGTGGCTGTGACCTACTGCCACCCCCCAACACAGAGTTATCCAGGCTAAGTTGTCAGTGTTCTGGGGTTGAGAAGCCCTGCTGTACAGCCAGGGGAAAAAATGACACCAATAGAAAACATCACCAAAATACATCGAGTACAAAAAGCAAAAGAAAATAGTGTGTATGATATAATGTCTATACCATGCTGTGTTTAAAGGAACACACAGGCAGGGAACATAGCTGCCAAGAAATGGGTAAGTGCGTCTGATCTAGGGAGAGGAAATTAAGGGTGAAGAGACAGGGTGGAGACTTAGACACATGCCACGTATTTTCTCTCATATGCAGAATCTCAAAAGACAGGAAAGTAGAGGGTGACTATTTGGGGGGAGGAAGGTGTAACGGGGAGTGGGAAGGGGTGACAATAGAAGGCAGTGGGAGGTGAATATGATCAAAGTACATTATATACATGTATGAAAATGTCACAATGAAACCTATTATTTTGTACAATTAAAACACTAATAAAAAGGGAGTGGAAAAAATCTCCCAGAAAAAAAGTGACAGGTAGGGTGCTTCCTTTTCATCCTATACCCTTTTGTACCCTTTGAAGTTTGCACTGTGCACATATGTAATATTCAAAACATCAACGTAACAGGTAGGTTTAAAGACCTCTGGCAGCTGCTCACGCTCCCACCACATGGCCTGTCACTTTGCCTGTCTGTTATGTGGGGGAGGGACGTTCTGCCCATCTCCAAACTTTGAGCACCTTGAGTCAGAAACTATGACAGCTTCTGTGTGTCTCCAGTCACCAGCACGCTGCACAGAGACACAGACTATGGACTCTATGAAAGTTTATTGACACAAACCACCACCAAGCTGAAGGGGTGCTAGGGCCAGACAAGGCCTCTTTGGGAGAAGCGGTCAGGAGGTGCTGTTTCCAGGTGTTTGGGGTATGTCAAAGAGTGAAATGAATAATAACTAAACATACTCGGTACCCACTGTGGATTATCTCATTTAGCCCTCCCGATGACTATATGAGATGACATTTTACAGATAAGGAAACCAGGCTTGGAGGGAGGAAGTTGTCCAAAAGTCCTGGAGCCTGAGCTAACACTGTCCTTCATGGCTTTTCAGTGCTTCTCTTCTGCCCAGAGCTCAGGCTCCTGGGCCCTGGTGTCTGACTCTAAAGGCCGATAAACAGACAGGACCACATAGCAAGTCATGGTGCCCCCAGGTGGCCAGAAAAAGCAAAATGCCTCTTGTTTTCACTCTTACTCTTGAGTCTCTTTCCCCAGGTGCCTATCAGAGAGACACAGACAGGGGAGGAAGCCAAACCCATCCTGGGACATCCAAAGAATGTGGGAGAATGGCAGAAGAGGCAAATGGAGCACCACACCCTTGGACACCACAGCAGGGAAGGCTGAGCCAAGATAGGAGGGCAAGGGTGCCCATGTAGACAAAAGGGGAGCGAAAGAGCTGAATGGGAGCTGGGGCTACAGTTGTCAAAAAATGAATTATTGTTACTAATGAATACTAATTACCAATGCCTACCTAGCCTCGGGCTCCATTTTACATGGTTGACCTCCCTTAAACCTGGCCACCACCAGTGAGGTAGGAACAATTGCTTTTGCCTTTCATGAAACCTGGGCTGAGAGGCACAATCCTAAGAAGGCAGGTGGCAGTAGAGAGGAGCTCAGAACTCAGTCTGTGATAAAGAAGTTGTGCTTTTAAAAAACCCTACCACCAAACCCCCCAGCTCCCATTTCCTTGCAAGAAAAATCACACAGAAACTTTCACCAAGGCATACACTTCTAGGCTGGTGGTCCCAGCCCGAGGGAGGGGCGCCTGGACATTCACAGCTGAAGCCTATGTGGTGGCTGGCACCAAGTACCGAGCCCTGCAGAGCCTGCTTCTCTCCTTCACTGGTTCCCCAGGCTCAGGCTCAGACAGGTACCAGCCAGACGGCAATCACCGCAACACCTGGTGGCTCAAGAGGCTGCAGAGGGACTGCTCTGCATTCCTAGAGGGAAGTCAAAATCACTCAGTCCTTTAACAAATATTCATTTAGCAACTACAATGCACTAGGCACTGGCCACATAGCAGTGTCTAAGATAGACGAGTTCTCCTGGAGTGGCAGAATAATCATTGTGATGACAAAAAAATCTTATTTTTCTGGTCTTTTCTACATGCCAGGCCCTGTGCTAAAACTTTCTGGGTATATTATCTGCTTCATAATGATCTGCCCATTAGCGCTCCTAGTTTATAGAGGAGGAAACTGGCTCAGACTGGCTAAACCATTTATCTACGGTCTCTCGGCTGATGTGATAAAACCGGGCAAGGAAGCAACTCCGGCCACTTGGTCCTCCAGCTCCACTCCATCTGTCCCCTAGCCCCTGGGGCGTTTCCGTCCCAAGTCACTCAGCGGGGCAGGGGCAGAGGTGGGATGGAAACCCGGAGGCGCCCCGGGAGGGCTGCTCGGGACAGAGCCAAGCAGAGGGGCGACGCCGGGCGGCTCACCGATGGTGGTGATGACGGTGATGGCGAAGTAGAAGGAGCCAGCGAACCTCCACTGGCGGCCGGCGCGGTGCGGCTCGGCCTGCAGCGCCAGGCGCTCCAGCTCGCGGTAGTCCTCCGTGGAGAAGCCGTACTTTCTCCGGAACTCGCCGCGCTTCTGGGCCAGCAGCCGCTGGCGGCCGCGCTCCGCCTCGGACTCGAGCGCGTCAAAGACCGCGGCGCCCACCAGCAGGTAGCACAGGATGCACAGGATGAGCGCGGCCGTGCGTGCGCTCTGCCTCCTCATCGCGGCGCCGGGCCCCGCGCCCCGCGCCCCCGCGCCCCCGCGTCCCCCGCGCCCCGCGTCCCCCGCGCGCCCCGCGCGCCCCGCGCCCCGAGCCCCCGCGCCCCCGTGCGCCCCCGTGCGCCCCCGCGCCCCGCGTCCCCACGCGCCCCCGCGTCCCCGTGCGCCCCGTGCGCCCCGACGGCAGCGCCCGCTCCCTCCGCCCGCGCGCGCCCGGGTTCGAGCCCCGCCGCTTTCGGGGCGGGGCCTGAGCGCTCCAGCTGTGCTGCCCGCCCCGCCCTCGCAGCAGCCTCCGGATCCGCTGGATCCCTGGCCTAACGCTTCTGCAAACAGTGACGTCTGGAGTAAAGACCTCAGCCCAGGTCTGCAGACGTGCTGCCTCCACCGCCAGCTCACCTGACGACCTTGGAAAAGTCCGTCGTCCCTTCCCTTAGTCAGTCAATCATCCGCAAATATTCACCAAGCACCTACCCAAGCAAACGAGGCTCCTGATGGAAGTAGAGCCCGATATGCTAGTATGTAGGGAGGGCCAGGAAATGAACAAAAAGATAGCTTGAGACAAGTGTGATAAAAGAAGAAAAATTGCGGGAAGAGCACCTGCCTAGCAAGTGTGAGGCCCGCCCCCCCCCCCCCCCCCCCCGCCAAAAAAGGAAAATCGGCAGAGATTGGGGAGTGCGAGCACCATCAGCTCAGGTAATGGGAAAGTCCCAGCGGAGTGACCAGGGAGGGAGAATCCAGGCAGCAAGGGGCTGGGTTGACAGCCAGGAACAACAATGTGACTGGAGCCAAGAAAACTGGAATGTGGAGAGGGGGGAAGAACAGAAAGAAGACAGAGAAGACAACTTCACACCAAGGTCTTACATCAGAAAAATGGAAAACCGTGGGAAGGCGGTAAGCGGAAACATGCACAGGACGCAATGGATCTGATTTGCATTTTTAAAAAGAGCTTCAGAGGTCTAGGGACATAGCTCAGCAGAGAGCATTTGCCTGGGGTGGGGGTAGGGGGGCACACCAGGCTACCCGGTGGAAGAGAGAAGGTGATGAGGAGAGTGCGCGGGCCCCGCCATTGGAGATGTAGAGGAGTATGATATGAGATGCATTAGGGAAGCGGAGCTGGGCACAGCTCGCCACATTGCCCAGTCCTCCTGGCACCTAGGAGAGACCATGTGACCAGGCTGCAGCCAATGGGACCTGGCAGAAGTAACTGGGAAGGGAGGGGCCTGGCCCCGTGCTACAACTGCTCTTCCCCCATCTACAGGCTGAATGCAAAGCCCTGAAGAGACTTGGCAAGGTGGCCTACAGTCAGGAACGCCCACATTGAACTTCTCTTTCCCTGAGGTTTGGGGGTCAGTCTGTCACCGGAGCTAGTGTTATACCCTGATAACAGCAATAGTACTTGCTGATGAGTTGGACATGGAAGGCAAAGGAGAGAACTCAGGGTGGACCTTGTGTCTTGGCTTGAGCAATTGGTATTTGGGGTGACTTCCATTGGCCCCAAACTCCTGTCCCCCAGCACCAAGGTGATACCCTTTTCAGAGTCCTGGGTGGGCTTGCATGCAGAGCACCAGGAGCTCACCTAAGGATGTCCAAAGCACCCAGCCTTCTCAGGTCTCTGCTGCAGCTTGGTAGGCATCCCCTGTACCCCACAACTGTTCTAGCTTCTCTCTTCACACCCTTCCCCCTAGCTTGTTCCAGCCACCCTCAGCTTTCAGTTCCTTGCGTTAACTCTTGTGTGACTTGTTACAGTCCTCTCCCCATCCCTTCCAATAGCCAACAGCTGCACGCCTGCTGTGCCAGGGGCCAGGCACCAGCAGAAGCACTTAACATGTGTGGATGAGTGTAACCATCACAACGTCCTTCTATGGTACATGTGGGTGGTACATGCGGGTGACAAAGGACCCATCCACTCTGCGACTCTCAGTTCCAAGATGGGCATTGGTCCTGACTCCACCCCAGGTGGTCTCCTCTGTGCTCCTGGGGTCTCTGGGCTCCTGCCATCTCCATTCTTCCCACTGACATACGACCATGTGAAACTTGGTCACTCTTCAGTCTCCAGCACCCTGACCTGGCATGGAACACACATGCAACGAGTATATGTGGATAAACAAGAGCTGTAGTGTGTGGAAATTAAGAGCATGGGCTGCGCCCAAATAACCAAGTTCAAAGCCTACTTCTGTTGCTTACAGTTCTTGGGATGCCTCTGTTTCCCCATCAGTAGAATGGGGTTTAAAAAAATTGTTGTCTTGGGTTGGGGCTGTTCAAGTGGCAGAGCAACTGCCTAGCAGTTGAACTGCTGAGTTCAAACCCCAGTCCTGCAGAAGCAGAAGAATGGTCCCATCCCCCAAAGATATGATGCCCAACCCTGGGACCTGCAAATGCATTTGGTTGTAAGACAAAGGGCTAAGGCAGCAGATGGCAAGGTTGCTAATCAGTGAGTGACCCGGAGATGAGAAAGGATCTCTGGGTGGGTCCAATGTTGTCACAAAAGTCCTTATAACCAGAAGGGGGAGGCAGGAGAGAGAACGAGAGCAATGGCAGCATGAGGATCCAGCTTGATGTCACTTGTGCTGGAGGAGGAGGAAGGGGCCCCAAGACAAGTCAAATGGGTTCCTGGAAAAGGCAAGGAAACAGATTTCTACTCAGAGTCTCCAGAAGGGAATGCAGACCTGCCAACACCTTGATTCTAGCCCTGGAGATCCGGGTAGATAGAACCAGAAAGCCAGACACTTTTTTGCGGTGAGCTCCTACGTTTGTGATCATTGGTGACAACAGCAGCAGGGAGCTAATACAGTGACTGTGAGGATTCAAGAGCCAATGGATGGAAGCCCTGAGAACAGTGTCTGCCTTGGGACTTGTCCAAAAGCGCTAGCCAGTATTAGTTCCTGGGTAGAATCAGGGCTCGGTGCATGTACAGGGGACCTTGGGTCCTCTGAGAGCAGGATGGCAGTTTGGTGGCCCAGAAGCAGGGCACTGGTATCGAAGGTGCTGGCGCAGCTGGCTTATTTTTAGTAACACCATCAGCAAGTTTGATTTTCTGATGCCTTTCAGCCTTCAGAGGGCCAGAAATCTGGATAGAAGTCTCAGGGTGGGGACAGGGACAGTGCACCAGGACCTTCAGCCCAAGAAGGGCCTGAGAAAAGCCGGTGGACAATGGAATTAGGGGAGTAGCTGAGTCTCAGGGGGTCTTAGGGGAAGGGCAGGACTGACTCGGGAGAGTTCCTGAGCACAGCTGGAATCCATGAGACCTGGGTTTGAATTCCAGCTCTTCCATTATCCATCTGTGCCTCAGTTCCTCACGTGAGAAACAATGTGGTGCTAACCACTGAGTGGGACCATGCTGAAGATTATAAAAGCTGCTGTGTGCCACTTTTTAGGGGCCCCTGAGCTGGTAGCTGTTTTCCTGCCTTTTTCACAATTGTTTGCCTGTAGATGTCAAGAATTCTGGCCCAGAAGCAGCACTAAGGCTGACATCTCAGGAGCCCTGGCTGTGCCGGGCATCTACACAGGCATGCCATTGACCAATCCTCGCTTTACGACTCAGAAGCACTGCTTGCCAAGTTCCCATAGCCAGGTTGTGGCTGAGGCAGGACTTGAATTCAGGACTGTCTGGTTCCTCAGGTCACAGTCCTTATTGGGCCAGATGCTGCTGGCTAAAGCATCCTCCCACTGGCCCTGGGGCCTCACTTCCCTCCTCTCTGAGATAGGCTCAGGTGCCTTGGCTGGCCGTGTTCCCCTGCCACCATGAGGATCCTGTAACACACACTTTGTGTAGTGTGCCCATTGGGGGTGGGTAGTATCGGGACCACGGGGGAGCTGTCTAGCCCTGCCAGGCAGGTGACTCTGCCTGCACTTGGCGTTTTTGGTTCAGCAGCTCTATTTTAAGCAAAGGAGGTTAGAGTTTGTGTGTTTCTCAGCTTGGAAAGTCATCAGCTGAGCAGACACCCAAAGCAGCAACACCCCAAGGCACCCCCTTCAGCTCTGCTCCTTCTGCCTCCTCCCCCTCATTTCTCCTTTGAGGACCTGAGGAGACCTAGTAATTTTCCTTTGTTCAATCATGCCAAGCGGCATACTCATGACCCCTCAAAGAGGCCTGGAATTTCACTTCCAGAACGCCAAGGTTGTCAGGTTTGAGGACAATAACAGAGGTAGTCCCCATCTCCAGCTGGGGCCTGGGTACCCTCCAGGTCACATCATAACCCACAATGAAAGAGGGGGTCTCATGTCAGGTCACACACAGAGGACAGCAGTTAAGAAAGGACATAGGTTTCTGAGTGAGCCAGACCTAGCTTCAATCTTGGGCAAGTGACTTCGCCTTGCTAAGCCTCAGTTTCCCCATCTGTGATGGGGGGGTAGGAATATCTGAGGATCAAATTGAAACCTGTGAAATAGGTGCTCAACACTCCCTCCAGCCCCTCCGCACAGTTTCTTCTTTCCCCTTTTCCACACTGCTTACTCTGCAGGCCTGACGGGATCTTAAGGGACTGATTTTATAGTTACAATATAGTTCAGTAATTTTCCAGAAGTCCAGAGGGCCCTGGCATTTTTCCTGGTAAGATCTCTCCCTGGTTCCCGCCTAAGAGAATGGATAGTTTTGCCCGCAAGGTATGGCAGGTACTAGCTCCTGAGACACTCGTGGCAGCTGTGGCCTTCCTGTAGCCTTCAGCATCTGTGCTGCAAGAATTAGAAGCTGCCTCTTGCTAATTAAAGAACGATGTTGGTAGGAAATTGAGGTCTCTTAGAATGTTCCGGAAGACAAATCAGAAGGTTTGGGGGACCCAGAGACATAGGACCTTTATGACCGGGGGGACACCATAGCATGTTCAGTGTGGAGGGCACCATTGTTCCCAGGAAGATGAGGATGCTACTTTGGGGACAAATGACAACTGTCTGAATATGCCTCCTGTTTGACTTTGAGTCCCAGTCAGTGGTGGATTCCTAACATGTGTTGTGACCATTTACTTGGAGTCACTAAGACTTCTTTCTTTCTGTTTTGGCAGTATGGA